GGGGGAATAAAAGTTCTCCCGCGTCTCGCATCGATGTGATAGGTAAATACGCGGGGATAGATACGTGACGTTACCTATACGCGAGTACATATGTGCCACGGTGTATACGCGTTTCCCACGAGCGCGTCGGGAAGGGTAACGTCACCCTCGTGCAACTGCGAAAGTTTCGCCGTCCACCCCCGCGCGCGTACGACTCACCCATTCGCAATTTTCACCTTAGCGATCGTGTCCGACAGTTCCTCGCAATCTCTACCGAATTATCAAATCCTATCGTGCGAAACGATTTGCGTTCACTAATCCGTATTCGTAATCGACGAGTCGTTCGCGCTCAACTTTAAACAATATGTGGCAAAGCCAGACACAGTCTCTATTTCAAATTTATGATAATTTCAAGCTTTATGATGTTAATGTTTATATGTTTTACCTACGAATATTGATCTGTAAATATCATTTAATCTTATTTTAATAAAATATCAAAGATTATTTTAAAATTTTATTGGGAGTAATACAGAGGGAAATTCTCATATGAAAAGTTGCGTGCTTTTATTTTAAATCCTATTTTTGTAGAGGCAAATAAAGATCCAGAACTTCAGAACGTGATTTTTGATCGCCTACGGCGAATTGTTTACTCGTGCGACAGTCGTTTTGCTGTTTTATGAAAATGGAAATGCGCTTCCGAAGGAAAAAAAAAACGACTTGACAATCCGCACGCCGCCTTTTCCTATTTCGTGTCGACCGCACGCGAGAAAGCATTTCCAGATCCCCGAATATTTCTCCGCTCGCGCAGTCTGTACGGGCCGATGCACTCGCGTATTGCATTTCTAGCAGACAGCTACGTGGCCACGCTACATAACCGGTACGTACATACATACATACATATACGTATATGGGAGTTACGTGTCGAATCAACTACGATCGGGGAACAGCTGACGCGATGTCCCACGGACCAATCAGTTTTATCCGTCGTGGAACCGGCCCCCGTCGTTGGTCGTGCAATTTCGAAGATTGCGCCACGGCATACGATGACGACCGGCAGTGACATCGCCGGGCCATCGACTTCCGGTTCCGTCTGGAAACCGCAGCGTCAAAGATTAACGACGTATCGTGACTCGTGTCACGGTCGCTGAGCAACGAATCGGCCGGAGAGTTCCCGACATGGTCCCTGAGGAACCCGGCGACCGAGACCGAAAAAAATGGAAAACCGTAGGAGGAGGAGGAGGAGGAAGAGCAATCGTCCACGACGTTCCTCGGGGCGAAACGTTGGCCCCCTCTCTCGTGTATACGTACACACGTACGCAGACATGTACAAACGGCCGTACACTATAGCGATAGCTACACGGTCGCAGTCCAAGTCGGAAGTTGCTTTGAGCTTTGACAAAAGTTTCCGCTTCGTTTAGGGGTAAACTTGGATCGATTCAATTTGATATTGTTGCCTTTTGCCGGGCCCGGCATCACACATTTAAATGTGTGCGAGACGTATGTGCATAAATATGCGACCCACATGCTTGCGTATCGTGCACAAGAGCCGTATTCAGATCGGATAAAAGTTTAAAGCTGTGACTCTCAGTAGTAAACCTCGGCAACTTCAGCGACGCGAATGGGGAAGGAGGCTTTTCGCGCGTTCTCTTTTTTCTCCTTCCCGAAAGAAGAGGCGACGAGGCGTACAAAGAAGAAGCGAGAGGAGAGGGGCGGGACACAGCGAGAGTCGTTTAAAGTCGTAATTGCGCCAATTTCGATTCCCTCCTCTTTTTCTGTCCTGCTCGCTTTTCATCTCTTCAACGCTACTTCTGGTAATGAGAATGAAACAAACGCTTGCGTCTCGTTGAATCGAGCCGGCAATATCGCTCGCTGAAACGAAACAAAAGATCTCGCGGCGGGGACGTCGAGTTTGAAACAAAGTCTTTATCAATTGATGATTAATAATTGAATTCGTGAGCAGAAGCAAATTAATTTTAAATAGGAACCGAGCGAAAAACAGACGTCACACAAACTTTACGTACTTTCGTATAAGTTATAATAAAATAATTTTTTTTTAATTGCAAAAGATAACTAATAAATAATAATAAATTTTCATTTACTAAGTTTATAATAAATAAGAATTAACATATAAGTTTGCGGTTGTAAAAACAGCAATAAATTAAATAAATAAATACAAAATATTAAAAAACATATTTGTATATTATCTCCTGTTAAAGTGTTTAGAAACATATATATCGATAATATTCTGAAGAAATTAGAATTTCCAAAAGTCACATATCCTATCTTGAGTACATATGATCTTGTACTTATTGTTAAACGATTTACTTTCATCAAACGAGCTTTGCTGTCGGCCTTGTGAACAGAAATACGCATTCAACGGGAGTGCGAGAAATAAGGGCGAAATTCGAGAGAGACTTAACGCGCATCCGGAGTCGTGGAGATGCTTTGAGAGCGAAATGTTTTCGTTTTGAGGTCCTTTAGAGACGTTCTTCAGAGCTTTCCCGCGGGAAGCCTCTCTTCTTTTCACGCGAGTGCAGCGACACGGTGGTGGCCGGGTTTTTAACCCATTCTTTCATGCATTTGCAGCTTTTTCACGACGCCTTTGATGTGACTAGCTAGAGTTGCGCGCGGGTTTCCCCGCCATATAGGTATGTGTACATCCAGATATAACACACCCTCATATATACAACGCCTACATACAACGGGTTTATAGGTAGAAACCCGACTACGTCCTCCACTTTTTCCGCCTTTCCAGGATCACCTTCTCTTCTCTTTGTTTATACAGCACCTCTTGGATGGTTGGATAACATTCAGGGGCAACCTCTTCAACCCCGGGACCACCCCTTCCCCTCTATTTTCCTCCATTTTCCTCCATCCGCCGCCGCCGCCGCCGCCACCACCACCGTGCCGCTAATCACTCTGCCGCGAACGTATTGTCGGTTTTGCTTTCTCCTTTTGCCACTGCTGTGTGAGAGAGAGAGAGAGAGAGAGAGAGAGTTGCTGCAAAAGAGCGAAAAAAAGAAGCAGTTGACGGTAAAATGAATTGATCGATGGCGGGAATAGAAAACGAAACACTCGACAAAGATTTGTTCGTTCAGTATTCGTCGTATGTAAACTAAAGTAAAACTAGTGCGCTTCTCAGGGATGGAAATTTAATTAAAAAATATAAAATTACAAAGTTAATTTAAAGTGACAATGATACAACACAGTAATTTCTACTAATAAGAAAGAAATCTTTCGTAAAATGATTAAAAATTATTAAAATAATTAAAAAATACAATAAATATTAATAATAATTTTAAAAAAGACTAAAAAATGAAAATTGTAATGTTTATTAATAGAAAATTATGATATTGCTTCATTTACTAGACTGTCTCGCATCATTTAAAATTAAAAACTTTGCTTTTGAATCTCTAAATATAAAATATAGCTACATTAAAGCAAAACTAAATAAGAATTCTTACAAAATAGCATGAAGCGAAAATAAATGAAGCTACAAATTATTAACGAAGAAATAATAGATGTAAAACTGTTTCGCATATCGAAGGCGTAATATTCCACGTGACGAGCATGTTTACAACTTCGTAACGATATATTGTTACGTGTAGTCAGCTATGTGCATAACGTATGACATAGAGACGACTAAGCCAAAGTGCGAGAAAGAGATAGAAAAAGTAAATGGATGACGAAAAGAAAATGACACTTGGCGCAGAGGAGGAGAAGCAATTCCACTCTCGGTTTCCTTTTTTCCATTCTCCCGTCCCGTCGCCACCCGTCCTCCGACATCGTTCTTTTTCCCCTTTTATTTTTTCGTACGACATTCGTCGCCCGTGCACCACGCTTGCGATCCGACACGAACGGGAACGAGGACGAGGAACGCCTCATCCTGCCCGTGGCCCCCACGGAGTCGTGACGATTGTAATTTACATAAGCTTTCTTTTCGTTTCGATGACGACATCGCTGAGGCTACAGCCAGTGAAGAAGCGAATAGGAAACGGCTGAAGGATCGAATTCTTTGTGCTTCGCACTTTAGATCATCGCGATACAGTATCAAGAGTTTTTAACAAGAAAGACGAAGAGTCATTTTTCGCTATTTACATTTTGATTATCTACACGATATATCGGAAATCCAAGTGGCATAAAGATGAAATAAAATATTAATACAAACAGAGTACTAAGAGTGATATACTAGCTAGGCTAATTTTTTAATAAAGAGTAAGAAATGAAGGTAACTTGAAAAATTCCGAAATTTAGATAAATAACCTACAAATTTTCTTAAGTGAAAAGTGAAAAAAGAAATTAAGTGAGAAGTGAAAGAAGAAATCATATATTATATTTCTAAATACATAACAAGTAAAACATTATTCTAAAACCTTCATATAATGTGTGTTTACACTTTAGACCATTTAAATAAAACTATAATTTGTGGCAATTTTTTTAAGTGCGCTCTCGATTTGCGCAAATATGTCGTGTGACAAATATTTAATTTCTTTAAGCAAATTTCTCAATAACGATACCATCGTATCATTATATAGTTCGAATGTATCGCGACGATAATGCAATTATCACCGTACGACAAGCTATCTCTCGCCCGGCTTCTCGGGAATGGAAGTTCTCAGTCGCGTAATTGGTACGTGACTGGCTGTTCTCCGCTACTCGTATCTATATTTGTGCCGCAGCTCTTTAATGAAACGATATTATCTTTACGACTCGCTCTGTTGATAATAGGGTTAGAGGAACCGGGACTATGCGAGCAATGCAGCGCGTAATTGAGGCTCGCGCGACCGCGTCCCTTCCGCGAGTGAAAATTTTTGCGCTCCCGCAAAGTTACGCGAAATGGCTCTCACGATCTTTCCGTCCTTGAGTATAAGACGTAGACACATTCCTCGAGAGTCGATTTTACCGGTCTAGCTGATGCGGAAAACTTCGTAATAGCCAGAGCCTTTCGTGTCTTATGAATGCTTCCTAGTAGAAATTTTGTAAATGATGACGGTTCTGTTTGTTGTAACTGCAACAGATATAAAGTTACGAAAAAGTCATCGTCGACGAGTTGAAGTTTGAAACTTCCTGGAAAATGCTGTGAAAGTTTATATATATATATATATATATGTATGGATAAACCAACAGCGTATTTTGTCTTATTTCCATAATTCAAAGAATGTCTATTATATAAAATACGCAATTTCTATACTTATATATGTCCTTTATACTTATATCCGTCGCTACATAAAATCCGATAAAATTTCTGATATACAATTTACTATCCGAGTATGATCAATAGATATCAATGTAAATATTTTCTTCGTAAACCATGTGACTCTATTTCTTATCGGTAAAAATATGATTAGTCGTCACAATAAAAAAATGTACCGATATTTACAACGGCAAAAACTCGTATACTCTGAACATCGCTGAAATATTTTCTTTTTTTTTCGGACCTTCCAATCTGTTTTAATATACGCGCAGGCACGTGCATAATCAGTGTACAGATTATTGTTGTACAAATCTGTCTGAAACCGTCGTGCATTATCAGTATCTCTGTAGTCTAGACTTAAAGCGGATGTGCCTGTGTTTGGCACAAATGTGATAAGCGTATCTATTGCGGTATTGTGTTCGGAAATGAACATCTTCGAACTATTTTCGTCGTAATTGTTTCGTATCTCAACATAAATTCGTATTTAAACTTTTAACGATAATGTGTTAAATTGTAATTTATTTAAATATAGGTATATCCAAGTATTTAAAGATTTTAACAATATTGTCTCTCCGTAATATTTTATTGTATTTGTCGTCTCTCTCTTCAGAAACTTACATTAGTAAAAAAATACTAAACATTTCAAATAAAAAACGTTTTTTTCTTCCGTACTTCATCCGTACTTGCTCCTTATATTTTTTTACGCAATCAATCAAGCAGTTAATCAACGTACAAGTTATTGCTACAACGTAAACAGCACATTTTCCAAGAGACGCGCCACGGCCTAACTACCTGCACCTGCTTTTTCTCGTTTTTTTCCTTGTCCGGTTTTGCGAGCACGGGAGAGAATTTTCTTTCTCTATAAACAGTAAAGTCCCGGACACTGAGGGTTTACACGGATCACGCAGTATCTTCTTGCGTAAATACGGATTGCGTCAGGACTGTCACGTTTTTCTATCGGTATACTGAAAACGCCGCCGTATATCTTTCGTATTTACCGTGCACACACACACACAGGCAAGAAATTGATAGACGAAATGAAGGAAAAGAGACTGACGAAGTGTAAAGCGTGACCTGGCGTGGTCGATAAGTGACATTCGTGCGTGTTATGTTATAGATATCATATATATGGATGAGAGTTCCGTGTGACTCACTACTCATTCGCCGAAGCAACCCCTCGGACACAAGCTGGTCCCGGTAAATGACCAGTCACCACCCCGGTTTTACCTGGAACTAATTCGGTAACAGGTCCGTGCCCGGAATATCCAACGTCGAGTTACGAGCGGATTAGTTTAAATCGCGAGGGTCCGAATGCGGCTCGTATTCGAGCCTAACACGTCGCCACCAGGGCTTTTAATTATAAGCGATACTCGGACGTCGGATTAAGTGGTATTTACTTTGGACGCTTGAAAACAGGGACTTTGTAATAATTTTGGAAATGTAACACAGTTACGATAATATGCAGCGTGTGCAGATACAACGATCGATGTCGTCCTGCAATAATAATAACGTACGAAAAATCCTTTCCCACGGGATTTCCGTTCAGCATTTGCAATCCAAAAACATTTTCACAAAATTTTCAAAATACTCGGAAATTCTGACAACGCTCGGGTATTGTGCCCCGGATGCGTCATTTATACCTGTCCATTTTCGATCCCCAAGAATTATCGACTAACGCGAAGCGGATAAAAGACAAGAACGAGTAATCTCGTATAAACCCTGAGGCAATCGAAAATGTCGATTCTAGAAACGGGAGTGCACTCAGCCCTACGATAAGAGCAAAGAAACTCGAATAATCTAATCGGCCGGTATCTATCATGATTACTGTTCTCTCCTTGAAGCACCGTCTTCCTCGCAACTCCCTTTTCGCTCTCTTTCATGCGAGTAAAATTAAACGTGTAAACGTTCGATTTTTGACGTTCAACTATTGACATCCGTGAATTAAAGTCACTGGCAAATATTTCTCTTCTTTCTTATCGAATATCTCTTGATAATCAATTTTATTTACTTGTGTAATAAGCGATAAACGTCGCTAAAACACATACAGATGAGCTGTGAATGTTTACACGATATCTAATTTCGACGAAATGGCTAGAAATCGTTGGAAGATCGTAAAAAAAAGTAGGCTGTACATAAAAAATACAAGTATATAACGTTCTACATTATTCATAAACCGTCTCGATTCAATAAGGATTAAATATATTTTCATTTCCTTCCGTAAAGAGCAAAAGCGGTATTTGAATTAACACCAAGAATCCCGATCATTCCACGACTGGAACACGAGATCGGTTCTAGGGCAGCGCGGCGTTGACTAGATATATCCCCAGAGAACAGCGAGCGCGGACTCAATTCTCTCCGCCATCGTGGCGCATATAGCGAGCCTTGAATTTCCGTCGTAATGCACCCACGGGCCGTACTTCCATGCTAAGCCGGTATAGCTTGGTGGAACAGCCACTTTCGTCGTGCTTTTCCGCGGCTCGCTGACGGTAGCGTGGGCACGTATAAACGTCGAGGGGAACCCGGCGCAGGTAGAGGGGAAGAGGGATAGACCACCATAATTCAGAACGAGTGCTAAAGGGAGCCTCGTACGTACCACTGCGAAACTCCCCGCGTATACTCGTCCTCGCTATTACGAGCGGTACCAGGCGAGCGAGCGAGCTCGCGCGGAGCAAAGAGGTTCGGAAGAGCAGGCACTCTACTCATAAAAATACCGACGTGCGGCAAAGAGACCGGTGGCCGAGGCTGGCAAAAATAACACTTCAAGAGATCTTACTTACGGGCGATGTAGAGCGAGGAAAATTCGCGGAGAGAACGACCGCGGTATTAACAGTGAACGAAAAAAAAGGCGACTGAGGTGGAATCCTTCCTCGCAACGAAGAAAGAGACCGAAGAAGTCAATCCTAGTTGGAGCCAACTTATTTCCGCAAAGTTTACTCTGCATTAAATTCCCCTATCGTCATTTTATAAATCTTAATGTTGCAATTTTTAATTTTTGTCTCAACATTTTGATATTTGCGGCATCTTCCAGATATTCGAATTATGTGTCGATGACAAAATTAATCAACAAGATCTTTTATCATATCCGATTTTTTTTGCAACTAATCACAGTAAACGGGAAATTCGCGGATTAATAATTACTAATTAAATCAGAAAAAAGAAATGAAATGTGCAGCAAGTGCAAGTAGTCGTCAGACCAACGACTCAGCAAATCGAGAATTTCTATTTCTCTCGAAAACCCTAAGTTGTCGCTCTTATCAAAAGGAGTCACGTACGCCACATTCAAGAAAGAGACTGTCATACCTTTCATAGACACCGCCCGATACATTCACCTTGCGCACACCTCAGACTCCAAAGGAACAAAAGAAGGAAGCTGCAAGATGGAGAACAGAAACGCAATGAAGAGACGAAGCGGCGAAGGCTTTCCGCACGATGATGCTTTTTATACAGCCTGTTCTCTGTCTCTCTCTTTCTTTCTTTCTCCTGCGTTTCTCCCAATGCCACCCTTATTCCTCCCTGTATACCGCCGAGGCTGTGGCGCCATAAGCGGCGCGCCACGTAGTTACCTCGCGAATAATTCGTTTTGTTCTCTTGAAGGTGTTAATATCGACGGCATCGCGCGCGTCACCTCCGTAACTTCTCTCCGGCACTCTTCTTTCCCTCTTCTCCCCTGATCCCTCGACACGATCGCTGCACTCGCTTGTTCGCGCTCCCCGGAGACGCGCCGCTCGAGGGAAAGGGCTGTTTGTCAGCCTTCCTTCATCGATTCGACCGTCGAGCGTGTAAGCAAACTTACAGAGACGGAGAGAAGATGAGATATCCTGAATAGAGAAGGGAGGTACGGCGGAACCTCCCTATTATCGACGCCATCGCGCGCGTCCCGCTAACACAAAATAAAATTAGCGCTCGTAACGTTTTATGCACCCCACCGTCTACGCGAGTAGCGCGAGCGAGAAAAGGACGCCGACAGGAAGAAGGGGGTGGGCCGTTCACCGCCGCCGTTTCACCCTTGAATCCCTACCACGTTGCTCACGGCCGCGTCCCTACGGCTACCGCTCTCTTCGTCTCCAGCCCCTCGCGAGCCTGTCTCACTCTTACACGCAAACTCCATTAGAGGGTCCTGGCACTCGCGGGGAATACCGTATTATGACACCGGAGGGCTTAAGGAAGAAACGAAGAACGCGCGAATGGAAGGACACGCGAGAGACGAAGAAAGCCAAGGTGCACGACAAGCGAGTAAAAAAGACAGAAAAGAATATAGGGATGAACGGCAAGAGGGAGAGAGAGGGAGAGAGAAAGAGAGAGAGAGAGAGAGAGAGAGAGAGAGAGAGAGAAGGAGGGGATATGATGTCCTGCCTAGAAACGAAGGTTTTCCCTTCTGACGGCCTCACTTAAGCGAGGAATTATAAATATATCCTTTTTGCAGATCGTGCCGGATATGCAGGATACGAGTGCATTATGCGCACAGAAGGATATCGCATCAGATATTTAAAAACATCCTTCTACCTCCCCCCAGAGAGTATCTCATTTTGCAAGAGTTTTTTTCGTTTGCAATCGTTTTTGTTACTTAATAATTTTGCCGTCATGCACTAGTTTCAGATTCATATTTCACAATCAACCGTGGTTTTTGTAGATTGTTTCAAATGGATGCACTATGTCCAATTTACAAGCATTTTCCGATATTCGAAAAAAAAAGTTACATAAAGCTATTCCTTCCAATCACAAACTATAGTTTCAAGATAATAGGTATATCATTGAGATACCATTCGTATCTTCGTAGATTGATGTAGATCTTCGTAAAAGTCATAATTGTGGTATGTTAGACTTTGCCTCTCTCTCTCTCTCTCTCTCTCTCTCATCATCGAAAGATGTTGATAATGAGAATTATCAAATACCGAACGATAAAACATTTATTAACGTGAAAGATCGCGCAAAATATCGCGCTGTTCGAAACAGCTCTATTTTATTCATAATATCTTTTCACCGCATTCGTGAAACTGTAAAAGACGAAACGTGCGCGAGAGGATTTTAAGCTTGCGTTATACTCTGAAGGCTCCTCCCCCCCCCTCCCTCACCACAAAACCACACCGAAATATATTCTTCTACCGTTTCGCAAGACCCCTGACGGTGTCGTAACTTTTCAATATTTTTTCCTTTTTTCTTTTATCCGTCAGCTGAATATACCGACCAAACATACGCGA